CCCCAAAACCCCAAAACCCCAAAACCCCAAAACCCCGTGTCTCTACATTTTACAAGATAATGAAGATTAAACTAATAAAATTTAATAATGTTGCATCCACTAAGGTATGATTAAAAATTTGCTGTTTTTATTGATCGTAAAAATCAGTCCTTTGACTAATCTCCTCGAGACTCTCAAATGTGTAACTTATCTCTTCATTATTTTATTATTTAGAGATTGCTAACTTTGGTAACCTAGTATAACCCTCGAAATCGCCAAGATACTTGAGATCAGATAATTTAGATGTTTCAGATATCAAAGGTGCTAAGGCAACATATGAGATCATGAAGATATAAACTAGAGCTCATAATCTAGATGTATCTGATATATAAAACGAAGGGAAACCTTTCAAAGTTCGATAGATAATCGATAAGAACTAAGAACTGTTAAGAGATGAGATCATAGGCAAAAAGCGTTTGTATGATAAACATTCCTCACCATTGAACCCAGAGTATATTGTCCGAACTACTTCGAATAGGAAAGTTGTAATAGGAGCTATAGAATAAAATAGGCCTAGGGAACTGATAAAAAAGGAAGTCCGAAAGGATAGCAAACGATCTCTAAGACTTGATGATATTCTTGGAGCATAGTCTAAACTATCTGACTTGATTCCGAAAGACAAGCTACCAAACCTTCACCCTACATTCATGAACAAGGATGATCAACAAAGATAATTAGTTGAATTAAGGCATGAGTACTTGCAAAGAAACAGAGAAAGCAATAATATGACTCAAAGTTTAACGTACTAAGAAAATTAAATCAGGCAATAACTTAATAATTCAATAGATCAAGGGAACCCTAAGAAACTTAAGCCATATGATAGTTTTATTGAAAGGTTAAATTCTAAATCAATGATGACTAAATAGAATGATGATTTGATTAGAGTTGATGATGGTTCACTAATTAAATCAAAGTTTGATGTGGCATAAAACCAAGCATTACTGCCTGAATCAAAGAGATTTAAGTTGAGGGTTAATGATTATGATAAAATCATCAGAGAAGAGGATCTAGTCTAGAGTAGAAGATCAAATGTCTAGAAAATTGATGTTATCGAGAGAGTATCAAGAAGAGCACATTCATAATTAAAAGAAGAGCCAAATTCTTTGATGAGTTTACAACTTTTATAGCAGAATTTGAACTAATCTCTTAAGCCTGCCAATGACCAGAGAAACATTAATAATCCTATAAAAAGAGATTTTACTAATATCATAACGGAGTCATTATCTAAAGATGAATTTGATTTGAGAAAAGACTTTACTTCAAATAGAAACAGCGGTGGGATATTTGATAAAAAGAGATTCTCTAATACTTTTGATCGCAAGGAATTGAGTAGTGTAAAAGTACCAGGGGTTTAAGTAGGTAAATTTGGAGGGCCTTAATTTGTCCCTGCTAACAAAGATTATGGAAACTTCCCTGACGTTATTAAGATTGATCAGCTGATGAAAAATGTGAGACACATGAGGCAGCAGCAAATGAATTAAGGAATATTTTGATTATGAATTCTATTTGAAGACTTTGTCTTAATTTAATAACCTAGAAAAATTCTAATAATTATAATATCAAGTTAAATTCCAATAAATGAAAATATTAAGTACTGAAGAGCTGTCTAGAACTGCAGTTTACCAAAGAATTAAGAAATTCTATGAATCAGACAAGAGAATGTCAAAGCAAAGCAGATTTTCCAAGAACTGCTAGTTATCCCAAGACTAAAGAAGCCAACTAAAGGGAACTCTAAAGAGTCTAAGGTTGGTTAGCTAATTATCCAAAAAATCTTAATCACAGTTAACTACTAAGAAGCCAAAATGATTAATTAACTTTTATTTATTTAATTTTTTCTAATTAATAAATCGGTCATTAAGGGGTTTTGGGGTTTTGGGGTTTTGGGGTTTTGGGG